ACATTATCTATAGGGGAGAAACAATTTGAATGAGAATGGATTTTCTATCAGAAACCATAGAGGCAGAAAGAAATGGCATAACACTTTGAGTGCTGAAGAAGAAAATAATCAACCCAAGATTCCATATTCAGTGCAAACATATCCTCAAGAATGAAGAGGCAATCAAAACATTCTCAGATGAAGGAAAACTATGAGACTTTATAAACAGCCAACTTACTTTAAATGAATGGCTAAAGAAAATTTTCTGAACAGAAAGGAAACGAAAAAAGGAGTCTTGAAACATCCAGAAAGGACAGTGAATGGTAAAAGCAAAACTATGGGTAACACAGTATGCTTCCCTTTTCCTCTTGAGTTTTCTATATTATGTTTGACGGTTGAAACAAAAAGTTTAACACTATCTAATGTGGTTCTCAATGTATACAGAGGAAATATTTAAGACAATTTTACTTTAAATGTGAGAGAGAATAAAGGAATATAGTGGTAGATAATAAGGTTTTTGCACTTCACTAGAACTGGCAAAATGTATTCACCAACCAACTTTGACAAATTATGTATATATAATGTTTAGTAGGCAAATTAATGGCCCCCAGAGACAACCATGTTATAATTCTTGGAACCAGAATAATTTATTTCATACAGAAAAGGGAAATTAAAGTTGCAGATAGAATTAAGTTTGCTCATCAACTAATCTTAATATTGGATTATCCAGGGTTATCAGGTAGGTCCAATGTAATCAGGACACTCAAAGTGGAAGAGGAAGGTAGGAGAGTGAGGTCAGCGTGATGTAATATTAAAAAGCTCAACACACAGTGGTGCCTGGGTGGCTCAGTCAGTTGAGCATCCAACTCTTGGTTTCAGCTCAGGTCATGATTTCAGGGTCATGGGATTGAGTCCCATGTCAGACTCTGTGCTCAGCAGGGAGTCTGATGGGAATTATTTCCATCTCACTCTGCCCCTCCCCCCAATAATAAATAAATCTTTTAAAAAATGCTCAACATACAGTTGCTTTTGAAGGTAGAGGAAAATGTTTATGAGCCAAAAAATGAATGCATCTAAAACCTGGAAAAATCATTGAAACAGATTCTACCCTAAGCCTCTGGAAGGGAATAGCTGTGCTGTGCTGACACCTTGACTTTAGTCCAGTGAGCCTGTAACAGACCTTTCACCTTCAGGATTCTAAGATAAAAAATTGTGTTTTAGTTTGTGGCAATTTTTTAAGGAAGCAATAAAAAAAAACTTATACATAATGCAATACCAAGAATTGTCACTAAAAATGTTATACAAAGAGATACATTGAAAAACTTGAAGTGTAAAGTAATCTATAGAAATGCAGAATAGACAATGAAAACCAGAGAAAACAAACAGAAGACAAAGAATAAAATGACAGATTTAATCCTTATCAATAATTGCATTAAATGTAAATGGTCTAAATATATCAAATAAAAAACCTTAATGGGATGGATAAAAAAAACATCATGACCTTACTATATGCTCAGGAACTCAATTCAAATATAATGATAAAGGCAGGCTAAAAGTAAACAAATGGAAAAAGATATACTATACAATCAGAATACAGTAGTAGCTAAACTAATATCTGATAATGTAGACTTCAGAGCAAAAGAAGAGAGGCATACTGTATAATGGCATAAAGGTAAATTGACCAGGAAGACATAACAATCCAAAATGAGATGTAACTGAAAAGTAGACAAATCCACAATTATTGTTGGTCATTTAAATACCCACCCTACAGTGATGAGAATAATCAAAGTAAGTATTAATACATGGTATACCATGTTTATGAATTGAAACCCTTGAGATACAAAATGCCAACTGTCTCCAAATTTTATATATATATATACATATGTGTGTGTGTATATAATTTTTTTTCACAACTCCTTTTATAGTCAGAGTAACCAAGACTGTGATATCAATAGATGGAATTAAACATTGATCAATGCAACAGAATAGAGAACCCAGATAAAGACCCACAGAACTCATTTTTCTATAAGGATGCAAAAAGCAACTCAGTGGAGGATAGATTTTTAAACAACTGGTGCTTGAGCAACTGGATATTTATAAGCAAAAACACACCCTCAACCTAAACCTCATACCTTAATGCAAAAATTATCTCAAAATGAATATTTAAATATGAAATAAAAATTATAAAAAAAACCTTAACTCAGGAAAAAGTCTCCAAGACAAAACTTGAAGAATTCTTAATCATGACATCAAAAGCATGATACCAAAAAAGTCAATAATTTGGTCTTAAAAACTTGCTGTTGGAAAGCCCATGTAAAAAGGATTTTAAAAAAGAAAGGTATAAATTGGAATAAAATATTTGCAAACCATATATTGAAAAAAGAACTAGTACCTACAATATATAAAGAACTCTCAAAACTCAACAGCAAACAACCACCAGACACACACAATTAGAAAATGGGCAAAAGATGTAGAGACATTTCACTGAAGAGGACATATGAATAACAAACAAGCACATGAAAAGATGATCAGTCTCACTAGATATTCAGGAAATGCAAATTGGAGCCGTGATGAAATGTTTCTATGTACCTATTAGAACAGTTAAACAAAAACAATGACAATACCAAATGCTAGAAAGGATGCAGTGAAACTGGTCTCTCATACATTGTCAGTGTGAATGTAAAATACAATAATTCTCAAATAGTTTGACAATTTCTTATAAAATTAAATATACCTCTACAATACAGCCAGCAATTGAACTCCTGGGCATTTATCCTGGAAAAAATGAAACATCCACACAAATCTTACAAATGACTGTTCATAACAGCTTTATTTTAATAGCCTCAAACTGAAACAACCAAAATATCCCTCAGTAGGTGAATAGTTAAACTGTGATACATCCCAGGAATACATTAGTATTCCTTAAATACTAATCAGCGATAAAAGTAAACTGATACACACAGCAACTTAGATCTCAAGGGCATTATGTTAGGAGAAAAAAAATATCCAGATGACAGATACTATATGACTCCATTTATATAAAATTATACAGATGGAAAACAGATTAGTGTTTGCCAGGGGTTATGCAAGGTTAAACATGGGAGGGGTGGATGAGAGAGACTAGACAGGGATAGCACAAGGCATGATGGAATAGTTTTGTATTTGGATTGCAGTGATGGTTATACAATCTACACATATGATAAAATGAAAAATATGTACACACATTGTACCAGTGTCAAATTCCTGGTCTTTATATTGTGCTCCAATTATATAACATGTAACTATTGGGGGAAACTCAGTGAAGGGTATATGTGATATCTGTACTATCTTTTCAATAGCCTGTTAACCTATCTTTTTTTAATTAAGCAGTTTAAAAAATCTGTGTTAAAAAATGAGTTGTATTTAATCAAAACTACAACCCAATTTAAACTTGGACAAAAATTTGAACAGATGCTTCACGAAATACATGAGCGGCCAAAAAGCACAAAGATGATACTTTTCATCATTAGTCACTGGGGAAATAAAATTTAAAACCACAATTAGATACTATAATATATACTGTAGAATGGATGAAATTAAAGACTGACAATAACAGTGTTGGTAAGTATGTGAAGCAACTCAAACTTGCTTACCCTGAGAACGTAAAATGCTACAATCACACTGGAAAACAGGTAGTTATTTCTTAAAAATTTAAACATGGTACCAAAATATGGAAAGAGCCCAGATATCCACTGACAGAGGAATGGATAAAGAAGATGTGATTTTATATACACACACACACACAAACACACACACACACACACAATGGAATATCACTCAGTCATCAAAAAATGAAATCTTGCCATTTGCAACTATGTGGCTGGAACTAGAGGGTATTATGCTAAGTGAAATAAATCCGTAAGAGAAAGACAAATACCATATGATTTCACTCATATGTGGAATTTAAGAAACAAAACAGATGAACATAGGGCAGGGGAAGGTAAAATAAGACAAAAACAGAGGGAGGCAAATCATAAGAGACTCTTAACTATAGGAAATAACCTAAGGGTTGCTGGAGGGGAGGTGGGTGGGGGTATGGGGTAACAGGGTGATGGGCATTAAGGACGGCACTTGAAGTAATGAGCACGGGGTGTTGCATGTAACTGATGAATCACTAAATTCTACCTCTGAAACTAATAATATATGTTAATTAAATTGACTTTAAATAAAAAATTAAAAAAGCCACCCTGAAAAAAAATTTAAACATGGTACATTAAAATCTAAATGTGGACAAACTTTAAATATAGAATATGGATTATATCTATATACATATATAGATATACGTTCTATGTATAAATTGCCACAAGACACAGAAAGCATAAATTATCACAAATAGGCATGACAAATGTATCACATCAGAAGTAAAGAAACAACAGAGCAGGAAAATGTATTTGCAACATACAATGGAGGATTAGCTTTGCCTCCATAAAAGAATTTGAAAAACAGGTAGAAAAATAAATTGCATGTTGAAATGCATTTCCTAAGAGGAAATTAGCATAGGAAAAGGTGCTCAAACTGTTAAGCTATAAGGATTGTGCAAGTTAACATTAAGCACTGATACCTTATTTCACAACCACTGGAATGGAAAAGAAAATGAAATATCTGAGACTGTCAAGTTGTTATGGATGGAAACTTCCATGAGGTACTGTTAAAAATGTCTATGACCACTTTTGAAAATGAAATCACAGTTTCTAGTAAGGTTGAAATTTGCTCACCCAATTGCCCCCAAAATCTGTTAGGTATGTAACATGAAGAGAATCTTACACTTACGTAGCAGATTACAAATAAAAAGATGTATACTACAACATTATTTGTCATAGGGTATACTGTACCTTATTTTTCCCATTAATAGGGAATAATTTTGATATATTTATATGGTAAAATACATTTGGATGAATTAATTAGACCAATAGGCATCAATGTAGTTTTTAAAAGAACACTGAGTTTAAAAAGCAAGTTTCAGAAATTATCTAGTCTAGAAAGCAATTTCAGCAGCACATATACTAAAATTGGAATGATACAGAGAAGATTAGCATGGACCCTGTGAAAGGATGACAGAATTATCTAGCATGGCATCATTTCTGTATTTATGGATAGTGAAATTATAATACATCCTGGAAGAATACACGAGATTTTTTTTATAGTGATTGTCCCTAGGAAAGGAAGGAAAGACTAGAGCGTGAAATAACCTTTAAAGAGCAGTAGCTCCTTTCCTATTGCCCTATTTACTACCAAACAACCCATTCCATTCCTCTCTGCCTCACATGACTGGCTCCTTGTGCCCTCAAGTATTCTTTGGCTTTTCCATTTACCAAATCTCACCATACTTGGATGATACCCCATCAATTACACATGGGGTAAAGCAGAGTACAGAGCAAATAGCATGCAAACAAAAATTGCTTGTTGGAATCCTCTTATCTCAGAGATCGTAGAGATCATGTTGCCTAGTATGCTTCAGATTGTGTTCTGAGAAGCCCTGGAGTTCCTGAGAGAAGCTTCACTGGGCAAGGAAGGGCTTGGCATGTAGGACTTGGCACCCACCACCTCAGATTCAAGCGCAGCAGTTCTGACTTTATCTGCTTTATAACTGGGTCAGTACTCTTAAAAAGGAGAACAAAACCCGCTGATTTTAGGTATCAACTTTATTTTTTTTTATAAGAACATAATAAAGTCATTTTCTAGCAAGATCACATAATTCTTCTATGTTTAACCGATTTGATTTTACAGAATTCTCGGTTAAGGAAGGTATGTGGGAGCCTTTGGTTATTAACATCTACCTCATCATATCCTATAAACAGGAGGATGCTTTTTCAAGTGTCAAGTCAAAATGAAATGATAATTATACTTCATTTACCAATACAGCAATTCTGGTATAAATTCAGGAAAAAAGGAGAAGGTAGAGTACGCTCCGTCAAATTTTGCAGTGTGCATCACACCCTGCTCTTTCACCAAGGAAAATAAGAGTCATCATCAACTTGTATAGGCAGAATTCTTTGATTCATTTAACCTAGTGATAACCCTGTAAATAAGTATTGTGTGTTAAAGAAAATGCAATGGGGTGTGAGCTTCTGGAAAGCAACTGTTGACTCTAACATGACGTTGCCAGAGGAAGAACTAAGTCATCAAGCTTTCCATCCCTGCCCGTTAGCTAGGTAATCTCTAATGGAAGTCATTCATGAAGCTAATAAGTTCTCTTCAAGTAAATCACTAAAAAAAGGGAATTATATTAGGCACCAAAGTTCATGAGGAAGAAAATTCACAACAAAACAACTCTGATCTTTGCTCCAGGCTCTGCTTAATGGTCCAGAAGACTAATATTCATTAATTTTCACAAAAGAGGTCATATGGCTAGAGCTATAATGTTCAAATAATATTCAATTACATTTTTTTCTAATGAGTGAAAGCCTCTTTTAATCATTTTGAAACCAGTTACCATGAAATGCATTATTTTATTCTTGTAATCTCTTCACTACAAGTCTTCAAAACATGGACGGCAATTTCACTTCCCAGGAAATACACTGAAAACAGAGGTTGATTTTGCATTCAGATTTCATTCGACCTAACAAACAGAATAATGACATTTTTTCCTACCCCTCCTGGTATAGAGTTTTGTAAAGTACTGTTTGTCTCTTGCAGAATTTCCCAGATTCAGAATTATTAATGTTTCTACTTCAAACAGAAGACCTGCAACCATACTCACAGAGGATGTTTAAAATAGACCTTTTCTTGACTACTAATGCCTAAAGAAGATGGTGTAGCCACAAAGCAGAGGGACTCTGAGAGCGAACGTTCTTCACAATCTGTCTGAACAGATTTGGCAGGAGGAGAAGGATTATTCACCCATAATATCTCCATCCCCACCCCTGCAACTTACAATCCACACTCTTTCATGATTCTACCTCTTATCAAGGAGTGCCTGTACACACAGAGCTAACGGTGTATGGATTATTCTGAAGATTAAAAACAAAATTATTTCTATCAGTCAGAAAATATAGGTTGTAAAAATTTTGCCTCTGCTAGCAAAGAACTTGATATTTTTCTCTCAGTTCTGTAAACCTTTACTGGAGGCTGAGACAGACACACATGGAAAAGATTTCTAATCTTAGGAAACATCTGTCAACCCAAAAGATAGAAAAAGTGGGTGAGGTATCCCCATAAACAGGTGGAGAGGACAGGAATCACACTCTAGGTAAATGAATTGGAAGCCTGCACCCATATTCCAGGTTCTGACTCTCATTCCGTGTATCAGATTTCCTCCCAGCCTAATGTAGAAAAGCAAACCACCCCAGTATCGAACAGCCACATGGAATGCTCCCTCTTCTGAATTTGCTGAGGAGTGCCTCTGTCTACAGACTTGCTTGAATCTGTAGTATTCCCCATAGCAGACTCATTCTCCTGTAATCACTAAGTCAAACCCTGGAGAAAAATCCAGCTGACTGTGTATTTTTACCCCTTTAACCTCGTGCTGCTAGTTTTCAGTCAAAATAAGAGAAATGGAGAGAAAACATCAAGTTACAACTAAGTGAAAGACAAGCCCCTTTCCTTTGATCACGAATAATTCTTACCTAGTTTTGGAGGTAAATCTACATTCTATGATGGGGTGGGGGAGGAAATGTGGTATAATTTGAGATTTGATATCACATCTACTACATACTGGATAATTTTTTCTTCACCTACATTGTTTGAGATTTTAAATTAAAGGATTTACTCAAATACTTTTTTTTGTAGAAATAACAGAAAAACTATTGTCAAACCATTATCTTCAAAAATTTGCTACAGAACCAAAAACAAAAGATGCCTGAAAAATTCTCTCTGAAGCATGTTTTACTGTTTTACAAGGTGTGGTATCACACACACAGTGACTGAAACCATCATTCTTTCTTTTGCTTGTACCAGTTCTCAGCAACCTTGTATTAAAAATTCCCTCAAGACTCAAATCTTCTCATTAGAAGTTTCATTTCAAATGATGCTTTGCTCTTTTTATTTAATCCTAGAATGAAAATAAAGAGACCTTAAGATATGGTCTAATCTAGTCTCATGTTTCCTTAAAAGTAGACAGCAAAACCATCTGAAAGTAATAGGAATAATGCTATTTAATATAAAAGTTTGAGAGAAAACTACTTCCCGTACATGTTGTATATCACTCGAATACCCTTTAAACTAATAGCTGAGTTCTCATTCTGTAGGAAAGCAGCGTCACTGAAAGCCAATTCTCCTCCAGTTCTCAGTTGGGTTCCAAAGTTGGATTAATACCATAAATTTTAAAGACTGCCTTATTTTACTGCCTCTCTGCAGATTGTGAGCTCCTTCAAAAAATGGGAACCAGGTGATCGTCTTTATAACTAATTCTACATTTTTAACTCCATGTCTGGCACATACTTATATATATCAAGCAATACAAGTGTGTCAGACACTAGGTTAAACTGGCTTGGAAAGGTTTATACTGATAGTTGAATGATTATCATTTAAAACAAAAGTTCTCTTTTGTTATAACTTTCCCCTACCCTTGTAACAGGTAGTCCTTATTTTCAGCCTTATTCTGTTCAATTACTGGTATATTTTTAAAAAATAAATAAATAAATCAGGGGCACCTGGGTGGCTCAGTAGGTTAAGCATCCAACTCTTGATTTTAGCTCAGGTCATGATCTCAGGGTTGTGGGATGGTGACCCATGTTGGGCTCCGTGCTTAAGTGGGAATTCTGCTTGAGATTTTGCTCCTACCCCCACTCATTCTCTCTCTCTCCCCTCCTTCTCTCTATAAAACAAATAAATCTTTGAAAAAAAAATCATAAAAATCAGACCATGACTTAGGCATTTAATTGTGATACGGGAAATATTTGAAATAAAACTATCAAAAATATTAGTCACACTTTTCTTTTTATGTCAATGAAAATAGGTATTTTAGTGACATATTGGCTAAACAAGGAAGCAGAAGGAAATCTTAGAGGAGGACTGACCCGACCTGACTGGGGATTTAAAGAGGATGCTCCTAGGAACCATTTGGACCTTGAACTGATAAGAGGCACAGATGAGTTGGAAAGACTTAGGGGAGAGATAAGAGTAAGAAACAAAAGGGGCGCCTGGGTGGCTCAGTCGTTAAGCGTCTGCCTTCGGCTCAGGTCATGGGATCGAGCTCCGCATCAGGCTCCCTGCTCGGCGGGAAGCCTGCTTCTCCCTCTCCCACTCCCCCTGCTTGTGTTCCCTCTCTCGCTGTGTCTCTGTCAAATAAATAAATAAAATCTAAAAAAAAAAAAAAAGAAACAAGGTTGTGATGATGCACTGAAAGCAAAGGCATTCATGCAGTCATCCTTATCCTGTGTGCTTTAGGCTTTGATTTTTTTTGGGGGGGGGTCTGATATTAAAATCTGGCCCTTTCTTTCTGTTAGCATTTTCTGATATATCTTTGATCTTCATTTTACTTTTAATCATCTGGTGAAATTTTGTTTTGGGGAGTTTCCTTGGTACTAGAATCTCATCAGATTTTGTATTTTTACCCACTCTCCAGGTCTGTTTTTCAATTGGAAAGTTTCATACACATATGCATGAAAATATATTCATTCTATATTGTAAAGTAAAACATAATGGATTGCAAAGCAGTATATTTGGTGCCAGTTCACATATGTAGGATTCAATCCCAAGTACTGTGTGCACATGCACATATGTATACACACATATATCAAAAACTTAAGTGCTTATTTCTGTGTGATAGTTCATTTTGCTTATATGTATTTTCCATGAACACATGTCACACACACATGCAAAATTAAAGTTTTATAAGTAAGAGTCAAATAATTTGCAGCCAGCTTATAATGGCAATGTGGCACCTAAACTCTTGATGGAAGAACTATAAAAAAAAAAAAATGTAAACCTCAAGCTACCTTCACAATAGAAGAATGTACACAGGCCACACAGGGAATAATCCTGGGGTACCTGGCTCAGGTCACCAGGTGGATTTGTGCTATTGGGCACCACAGGACACCTTCTGCATAAAGCCAGCCCTTCAAGACTGGGAGAGCTAACTGATCTACCTAAATCACAGAAACAGGATTAAGCAAAATGAGGAATATGCCCAAATAAAAGAATAA